CTCATTCACTCTCTTTCTCTGTCTCTCTTATACTGCGGGTTAAATTAGGGCCTTTGCCCTGAGCTACATCCCAAGACCATTTTTCTTTTTCTTTTGAGATGACTCTCACTAAGTTGTGGAAACTGGACTCACACTTGCAATCCTCCTGCCTCAGCCACCAATGTGCGGGGATTACAGTCCTATCAGGCATCTTTCAAGAGGTCCTGGTCTTTGTCTTCCCACCCAGTTCCCTGTCCTTCCACAGAGAGGCATTAGAGTTGCATTAGAAACCCAGGCTCTTACTGTCAGCTCTGCTTGTTTTGGAGTTTTACCAAGAGGCTGGACGCCTGGCTGGCTTGTAGGCTGAACATGTCAGGCACACCCCTGACCTCTCTTCCGGCCAAGTGGCTCTGATAAGTGGGCAGGCCTTGTGTCTGTGCCACAGACACACTGGGATGCTGCCTGCAGAAAACAGCTAACCAGTTTCCTCTAAGGCTCAGGACCCCATTCCAGAGCTGAGCTGCAGGCCAGACCCTGCTCCCTACTGCCATGGCCAACAGGACCAACACATCTGCCCCATACTACAGCTATGAATACTATCTGGACTACCTGGACCTCATTCCTGTGGATGAAAAGAAGCTGAAAGCCAACAAATGTAAGTCAGAGCTGGGGAAGGTGACCAGGCAGAGGCTGAGGGTTGGCCTAAGTGACTGCACTCCTAGCTGTTTTTGTAGCCACTCACTAATACTGGAAGGCATCGCAGGTAAGTGACAGTGTGACCAAGGCATGTGTGCATATAAATGAATGGGGCTTGGGGTCAAATTCAGATCTGTAATCTCTGTACTAAGCCTTTGAATTAAAGCACTATAGAACTAAGCAGAATATTCTCTTAAGACAGATTTCTTGATGAAGTTTATTGGGGGCTCCATATGCCCAGTGAGTTTCTTGAAATTGCTGAGTTCGTTTTGTAATTTAGTTGGGCAGCAGTGTTCTCTCTACCTGTAAGGCATGTGGACGGAGCTCCTACTAAAGTGCTGACAATGGTTTTACTCTTCGGGGAGGATAAACAGAAGTTAACATCTGCCTGTGCAGTCCTTATGTCTGGAGTAACTGGGCACTCTGTGGCAACCTTTGCTGTCCGTCCTGCTGCTCACTTCAGATGACAGCCAGAGAAATGATCATGAGCATGCTGTAAAAGCCAGCAGTAGTGGTCTTGGCCTGGATAGCTGTCCTCTGTCTCTCCTCGGGAGGCCTCAGGTCCTTCGGGTATTTCCTCACTGTTATCCTACGGTCCACCCATCAGAAGGTAAAATAAGTCACTAGAAAGAATGGGGTGCTTTTTACATGGAAGAAAAAGAGTCTGTAATCCCAGCACTCGAGAGGCTGAGGCAGGAGGATTGTTGCAAGCTTGAGACCAGCCTGGGCTTCAAAGTGAGCTCAAGGCCAGCCTGAGCTGAATATCCAGAGCCTGTCTCAAAAATACAAAAAATAAAAACAAACAAACAGAACAAAAAAACTCTGAGATATGTTTGAATGCTGATGCTTAAGATATTGAACCACAGAATGCCTGGAGACGGCCTTCTAAAATGCAAAGAATGGTCAAAATATACAGTGAATGTTTCAATTTTTTAAATACAGTGAAAGGCACATTGCTTTAACCTCCCTCAAAATAGTCCCCCTCTCTTTGAACATATCCTACCACAGGTGTCACTTTCTAAAACAGTTTTGAAAGTGGTCTTTTTGGGTCTTGAGGGAGTATGGTCAAAAATACAGTGAATGGTGCTGCCAGATGTCACCCAAGGAAAAGGCAGCCTCATGAGAGCCTTATAGGGTGTCCTCACCTGCCTGATTCACCAGCGGTCTCAGTTACTCTGCTGTCATTGCCGGGGCAAAAGAACCAAGATTTGTGGAAATTTCAGTCCATACTCAGCTGGCTTCAAGGCAGAGCAGCACATGGCAGAGGGCAGCAGTTCCTGATGGCAGAAAACAGCAAAACAGCAAGAGCAAAAAGGGGGGTGCAGCAGCAACAATGGCAGCAGGGAGCAAGTCTGTCTCCCTCCTGTTGCATCCAGGCTGTCTGCCCCAGGCTGGGTGGAGCACTCACACCTATAATCCCAGCAGCACTCACACCCATAATCCCAGCAGCACTCACACCCATAATCCCAGCACTGGGTCATGAACTAATCACAAACCCTAGAGGACGCCCCAATGACTGTGTGAGGCTTTGGGGGGACAACTAGACACAAACCTTAATACCAGCTCTGGTGCCATGTGACTTTGACTCTTTCTCAAAGTCAAAATGGCTGCAAAAGGTAAATGTTTTATATCAATTCAGGACACTTGAAGCAACTATGACAGTGCAATTAAAGGTACTTAAGAAAGAGAACTTTTTAAACTGCTTCAGAAAGTGGCAAGAATGATAAGATTAAAAAAAAGAATGATGAGGGGCCAGGGAGATGGCTCAGTGGAATAAGCACTTCCCTGGCAAGTGCAAGGGTCTGAGTTTAATCCCCGGTTCAAAAAAAAAAAAAAAAAAAAAATGGGATAAGAATATATTAAAAAGAGAGAATATTTCGAAGGAGATAAAAGGGAATGTGTCTTTTAGTATAATATATATTTTTAAATTTTACTAAGATTCAATTTTTGGCCTTTTTTGGTGAATGCAAACACATATACTACTATAATATATTTTTAAGAGATCCTTTAAAACATTTCCCTTTTTTTGGTTAATCTGTTTGTATTTTTGAGACAGGATCTCCCTATGTGATTCAGGATGGCCTTGAACTTACTATGTAGTTCAGGCTGGTTTCTTAGTTTGTGGTGATTCTCCTGCCTCAGCCTCCTGAGAGGTGGGGTTGCAGGTGTGCACCACCACATCTGGCTTATTCCCCTTTTTTTTTTTTTTTTTTTTCAGTACCAGGAATCAAACTCAGGACCTTGTACTTCCCAGGCAGGAGATTATGCCACTGAGCTATATTCTTACCCTCTATTCCCCATGCCTATTTTCTTGTTAGGTAGACTTCCAGTTCCAGGTTCCACTCGCAACTTCAGAAGCCAAAAGCAGGTGCCTATCTGTGTCTGTTGAGAACTTACTATGTCCCAAGCAGTGTACTAAAGCTTTTGCAGGGACATGATGTTTGGTCTGCGTTTTCTGACACAAGGCAGGAAAGCATTAAATGGGAATGCAGATTTTTGTGTACACAGCTCACTGAAGAAGATAGTCATAAGGAGAAAGTGGCAGGAGTCAAATCGCTTAATACTGTCAAAACCCTAGAACTTCAGGATACGTGTTCATCTGGACAAAATATAGGCCTGTGTTCGAAAAAGTCTTCTGTAAGTTAACACAAATGAGATGAAACTCAGGGTCAGCTTTAGACACTGCCACCTTCCTTGGTGCCAGATAGCCCCCAGGTTATCACCTGGGTTCCAAAGTTTCTCAGCACTGAGAAACTGAGGCGAGGGTGAAGCCAGGCCCTGAGCCCTCCAGGAGGCCCAATTGGGTAGGGGGCCCCACACCTGGAGGGAGAGGCCAGGCCCTGCCTCCCCATGGAGATGAAGCAGCTATTGGTATTTTAGTTGAAGTCATCCAAGTCATGTATCACACGACAAACGGACCAACTGTGTCCCACCTCTGAACACAAACAATGGAAATGTGGAATCTAAGGAATGTTACCCAGCTTATTGTAACTTAAGCAAATTTGACTTTATCAAGAAATCTATCTTTGGAAAAATGTGTCGTTTCAGCAGTGCTCTAGATTCTTAGGAGGTTTGTTCCAAAGAAGGATAACAGATACCATTTACCCCTGTACTCCTAGATATAGGGGTCTCTGGAACCCACAGTGAGATGTCATTCCGGAAATAATCCGGTGTGCATCCTGCATGTTCTGGTCTTTTTTTTTTTTTCTGGTCTTCATATTTTTTTTTCTTTTTTGAAGTTTTGTGTGTGTGTGTGTGTGTGTGTGTGTGTGTGTGTGTGTGTGTGGCCAGCTCAGCCCACCAAGGGGCGGGGCTGGCTGGCATGTGGTACTGGGGGATTGCCCTGTGCTTTGCTAAGCTTGTTCTAAGTAGGTGTTTTAGACCACTGAGCCATCTCACCAGCCCCTGGTCTTCATATTTTTGTCTGAATTTAATCTTCATTTTTTTTTTCTCAAAGAAGAGTTTTGGGACTTGACAAAAATATTCCCCATAAAAATGTTTAAACCCTAAATAGATAGCTTTCAAGTGTTGGGGAGAACACACCAGAAGACAGGTCATACTGGGGCAAGGCACAGGAACTCTGAATCACTGTGCTGTAATCTGTGTCTTAGGCCTGTCACTTAGGAGCCATGTGGCCTTGGCCAGTTATGTGGTTAAGGCTAGCCAGATTCAGAAGAGAATTATGACCTACTTGTCAATGGAAGAAGTGTTAAAAATTTGAGTCCCAATTCTGAATACAAACAATGAAAATGTGGAATCTAAGGAATGTTACCCAGCTTATTATAACTTAAAAATCTGAGACCATCTTTAATTCACCACAAGCAAGAAAAACATGGCAGACAGCAAAGTGTGTCCGAAGAAAAGTTAAGACGAGATTAGTGGTTAGAAGAATCTGGGGGCCAATGAAGAACTGCAGCTTTGAACGGGGTGGTGGGGAAAGCCTTCCCGAAGGGGGCCTGAGTATAAGCCTTCGGGATGTCTCAGGGAGGAGCCTTCTGAGCGGCAGGCACAGCGAGGACCCGGGTGGGCAGCCATAGTGCATCTGAAAAGAGCAGAGAAGAGGCAGGTTCTATTTGCTCCTGTTTTTGGAAACGACTCTGAAATATAATTATTGCCTTCAAAATAGAAACCACTTTATTATTTCAAAATTTAGTAGTAGTCAATAAGAGAAAAACAACGCAGAGGCCAGGACAGAAGAAGACAGTAATGGAGAAGGAAACACCGAAGACTAAAGAATAGGAGGAAATACTCAGTTTTACAAGTATTTAGGGAAAGATGCTGGGACAAGCAATGAGACCTCATTTCATATCCATGGCTTAGAAAAATTTAAGGGTTGATATTTAAAGTGTTGGGAAGGAAGCAGAGAAATTAGAATTGTCATACTGCTCATGGGATGAAAATTATGCCCATCCTTTTGGAGGCCGACTTGGCAAGGACCAGAAAAACTGAAGATATTCACAAAGCATCATTCAGCATCCTCCTTCCAGGCCTCTGAGAGGGAAAGTACTGGAACCCACAGATGTTCACAGCTCCAGTTCTTGTGATGGCCAGAAATTGACAGTGACCCAGCGTTCACTGAAGGAAGACAGGATAAGTCAATCTAAGATCTGTTAATACAACCAATAATCCATAGCTTGGTAATAATGCACAAGTCCGATCTGTACGTGTCAATGTAAATAGATCACTGAAACCTAATTCTTCTGGCTTATGTCTAGCTCTCCTCTGAAAGCCTCACGAGGCCATGGGTGGGGCTTTGCAGAGGTGGCTGATCCAGAGTATGTGACACTGGGGCTGGTTCATGGTGCAGAGTGAGGCTCACGAGCACTGGGAATAAGGGTGTGCGTGCTGTCGTTCCTGAGCAGCCTGAGCAGGATGGAAGGGGCAGAAGGAGCTGCGGTTGCCCCTTTTTGCTCGTGTTTGCTGTCCTCTGCTTGCCATGAACCGTTTCTCCTTGCGGTC